TATCACAGGGTCTTCGTCTTGTGAAATTTTTCGTGGTTCTCGTCGTCGAAGTGCCGCCTCTGGGTCCCGGGGTCTCTCGAGGGCATCGCGGAGCCCCGTAGTGCCTTGTGGCGCTCTTTAAGGTTTTCGGGTGAAGTGCTCGAATTCTCCATGCGGGTTTCCTCTCGGGCCCTTTTCGTGGGGCTGTCCTGGGGCCTTCCTTGGTGGATTCGGGAGCCCTCTTGGAGCCATCTTGGGCCGTCTGGGGGCCTGCTTGGGGGCATATGGGGTTTCCTTGGGTTGATTTGGGGAGCTTTTCGGGCTGCTAGCCGCGTGACAGGCCAAGAAGCGAAAGTGCTAAACTTAGGCGTTGCTTCCCCCTCCTCAAACGCCTCCCCCGGGAGCCCGGTCGGCCGGTTTGGACGGGGTGGGCTGGTGGGTAAAGGTGCCGGCCGCATACTTGGAACCTTAAGGGGCCTCACAACGAACCAAAAAGATCCAAAAGGCTCCCGGAACGGTCCAAGAAGCTACGAGTCGACGAGAATCGTTCCACAACGCCGACGATTGCCTCCAGATGCCCCCGAAGCCCCCAAGACGCCCCAAGAAACCACCAAGACGCCCTCCAGAAACGAACATCGCCCCATTCCCGACGGACAAAATATAGATCGTAAACACACTGGCCTCTTGGCCTTTCACGAAGCCCACAATGGCCCAAGAAGCCTCCGAGAACGACCCCCAATAAACCCAAGAGGCCCCCGCGGGAACTCCAAGACGGCCGGCGAGGGCCCTGCGAAGGCCCCAGAAACAACCGCAACGGCCCAGGAGAGCCGCAGGACGGCCTCAAGAGGGCCTCAAAATGGGCCAAGAGGGTTCCCAAAGGCCTCCTGGACGGCCCACGAAGGCTACGAATCGTCGAGAGATCGCTCCGAGACGCTCCAGATTGCCTCCCGGCGGTCCTTCAGGCCCCCAAGACGGCCCAAGAAACAGCCCAGAGACGTCCCAAGAGGCTTCCCAGAAGCAAAAAAGCGTTTCATGTTCTATGGTCAACATACATTTCCAGCACGTTCTCCTCTTCGGCTTCACGAGGCCCACAACAGCCCAAGAAGCCTTCCATATCGACCCAATACGACCTTCAAAATCTCCCAAAAAGAATCCAAGACAGCCCAAATTGGCGCCAAGAAGCACCAGAAACCACCGAACCGACCCAGGGCGGCCCCGGGACGGCGGCCCCCCCCAAAACTCCCCAAATGGGTCTCGCAAGGCTCCCCCGACGGCTCCAGAGCGCGAGTTACGACTCGTGAGGAAATCGCTCCCAGACGCCCGCCATTGCCTCCAGCTGACCCCTGAGGCCCCCTAGACGCCCCAACACGCCACCAGGACGCGTCCCAACAGGCCAGAGAGAAACCAAACCTCGGCCCCTTCCCGAAGGGAAAGCGCCTAAGTTTACACACGTTCGCTTCTACAGCTTTCGCGAGTCCCACAGCAGCCCAACAAGCCCCCCAAATCAACCCCAAAACCCCCGCATGCCCCCAAGAAGGCTCCCAGACGGCACAAACGGGCCACAACAGGGCCCCCGAAGCCACCAAGGAAAGCCCCAGGACGGCCCCCAGAGGAGGGCAAGAAGGGAAACCCGAATGGAGAATTCGAGCACTTCGTCCCGAGAAAACATGGCAGGGCGCCAAAACGCACCCAAAAGGCCCTGACGGGGATCCGCAATGCCCCCGAACGACCCCGGGACCCGGAGGCGGCCCTCCGACGACGAAAACCACGGAACAACTGGAAACAACTAAGACTCTGCAGCGGAGTTCTTCCTCTTCCCCCGCGCAGAGATCGCTCACGAGGGGCCCCACTGCAGTTTTCCCCACTGCATCCGGCCGCGGCGGCAGGGGAGGGGCCCGGAACCGCCCCAGCCACAACAAACCTTCCGAGTCCGACGGGCCACTCCGCGCAGATTCTTCCCCCGCGCCTCTGCCCGAGTCCGCTGATGCAATTTCTCGCCCCAGGTCCGTCCGGCTGTGAAAATCCCGGGGCCCAGCGACGGCCTCCAGAGACCGAAACCTATCAAAAACGATAGCTGGTCGAGCAAAAATCTTTGGAAATGCGGGCGGAACTGCCGCGGGCATCTACCTCGATCGAGGAGAAGAAGGACCAGGAGGAGGAAGAGGAGGAGGAGGAAGAGGAACAAAGAAAGAAGATTTCGTCGTCGCCGCCGATGTCTCACAAATGTTCGTGGTCATTCGACCACCCGAGGCGTCTCCTCGAATTCAGCCTCCAAGAACCGTTTTCCGTGCCCGGGACCACCACTGGGGGTCTGGGATGAGCATCGACCTCCCTGGCCGGTGCCACCCCTTCGCAAAGGAAGGAACACGGGGTGGATCGATGCACGATGCATGAGACTCCTAGTTCTTGGGCGCTCAACACCCCCTCTGGGCCTTCAGGAAGCTCCTCGTCCACACACCTGGGTCCACTCTCGAACTTCTGGCCGGACGCACCCCCAGCTAGGTCTCAACGATCCCCGAGCTTATCCGGGGGGTTGAAAAGGAGGCCTGGGACAAGCTCCGTGAAGGCCCCAAGGAAACCACATAAGACCACGAATAACTTCAAAACAATCCCCTACAAGGCCCCCCCTTGAACCCCTCACACTACGTAGGACAGGCCGAACCCCGAGATTGCCCAGCGATCGCGCGCGTTCCGCGAACTCCGTCTTTCACTCTTGCTGCCGCCCCAATGGGTCGGCGGTGCTGCGTAAGCCAATGAATATTGCCCAACATATGCTGCTAGAAGCGCGCTGTGGGGCCCACGTTGGCTAACATACTTGTTGTACAAAGCTGTAGCCGAATGTTGCAATGGCAAACGATATGACTTCGGCACGCGCGCGTGGCGGCGCGCTCGCATGGGGCCAACCCGCATGGCAACATGTGAAAGGGAGTCGTGCAGCGGGCGCGCGCAAGATCCACGCGGAAGCACCGGGTTGTGAGATGAAGACCCGGCGCCTCGACGAGATTGCTGCGCTCATATGGGTTCCCTATGTTTTCGACACGTGAGCACGGGCAGGACATGTGCAATATTTGTGTGGGGACACCCAATTTGATTCTCAAGTTTGTATGTTGAAGCGCTTGCAGCACAACAGTGTTTAGTATATGCTCGACATGTGCGCGCGTGGACTTCGTGGTCCCTTTTGTCCACGGACCATTAAACAACTACTTTCTGAGACAAACTCGTGTTTGCGCGTTGTCTTATTTGGCAGCAATAGTGGGATAAAAGGGGTCTACTGGCCTGGATGGGATGGTGGATGGTATGCTTTCATCTGGCACATGGTATGATCTCACATGGAAAAATGAACGATGATGCAGAAACATAGATGTATTGAGCTATCCGAAGAAGGGGGGGCGAAGTCCAGGCTTGGGAGGGTGGTGGGGCGCACTCTTGTTTTGAAAGGGAGATATAGGTCGTGTAGCCAATTCGTTGCAATCTATGCCCCGCAACATGTTGGTTTCGAACTACGTGGTGGCCTCGACATGGGAGCAAGACATATGGAACATAATCTGTGGTGAAACCGGCGTGCGCGCCCCGAAACGCCAGCCAATGCACGAGGCGCCCACGAGGAGTCCAAAGGTTGGCCCCACGGGCCCCGGAAAGCCAATCCAGTGCACGAGGCGCCCAAGAACTGACCGAAACGTGAGCACCGGCCCTGGGCAGAGCACGGGGCGGCCACAGGGCCACGATGCGCCCACGGGCGAGCGCCGGGCGAGAAGCAAGGCAACGCACAGGGCGCCCAAGAGGCGAGAACTGGGACAACTTAGCGCGCGGGCTGCCCAGGGGCGGGCATCGGTCCTCCAAAATCGCTTGGCGAAGGACCCAACCATATGCAGTTCCGAGTAACGCAAGTGTGCATCTTGTCATCGGTCGGGCTGCCTATGGGGTCACGAAGCGTGCGGGGACGGTACCGAAATTGTCACAATGAACGCATGCCAACGCAACCGTTGGGGCTTTCGGTGGGGTTCCGTGCGAGGGGTGTGCCGAAGTAGGCGGGGCGGGCGATTGCGAGCGCAGCCAGTGGGGCCCTCGGTGGAGCTCCCTATGGGGCCACAACGCGTGCGAGGAGTGTGCCGAAATGCGCGCGGCGGGCGAATGCGACCGCAGCCACCGGGGCCCCGGTGGAGATCCCCAATCGGCCAGGGAGTGTTTGAGGGGTGTGCCGACATGGGTGCGGCGGGCGCATGCAAGCGCACCCGCTGGGGCCTTCGGAAGAGCCCCTATGGGACCACGAAACATGTGAGGGGGGTGCCGACACGGGTGCGGCGGGCGCGTGCGAACGCAGCCACTGGGGCCTTCGGTGGCGCCCCTATGGGGCCACGAAGCGTGTGGCGAGGAGGAAGGAAGAAGAAAGAAAGGAACGAAGAAAGGAAGGAAGGAACGCGGCGCGGTGTCTCTTCAAAACGAGGGCCCAACACCACAGGATGGTTGGGAACAAAAAGACCCCAGGCAACGCACAAGGCGCACAAGTGGCGCCCACGGGTGACACCGAGCGACATCCGAGGAGAACCAACCAATTATCTCAGAACCAAGTGAGAAACCCTTAGTGCAACCACTGTGTGGATACCAACTTCGTTATCAACGCCCCTCTTTCCGAGAAGTCCTCTGGGCATCGTTTCTGGATGGGCTGGTGGGGATTCGCGAAGGGTCAAGAACTCATGAAAAGCTGCCACGGCTTCCAGAACTAGAAGAAGAACAAACAGCATTCACATAAACTTTCGGAGGCGTGCGCAATTCTTGGATCGGCGCTGTGTCCCACCTCCCTGGCGCGCGGAGCGCACCCTGGGCGACGCTGAAGGCGACACCAAAGGGGCTCAGGCGCTGATCCAAGAAAGCTGCGCAGAGCTGCACAAGTTTTATGCTTCTGCAATTGTTTCTGGATTCGAGGTCGTGCAATATTCTGCCAGTTGCGTCGCGCAGGGGGCGTATCCTCTCGTCACACAAGATCACGGTGCAGAGGCAGTTGCATTCAGTGCCAGGGTGACCTCCAGGCTGCCACCGAAGCATGCGCCAGCGAGCCTGCCGAGAGGGAGGGAACGATGATGATTACGATGATGTCCATGATGATGACACTGCTGTTGATGTTTGTGATGATGATGATGATGCTGATGATCATGATAAGGATGATGATGATGATGGTGATGGTGATGGTGAAGATGGTGATGATGATGATGGTGATGGTGATGGTGAAGATGGTGATGCTGATGACTATGATAATGATGGTGATGATGATGCTGATGACGATGACGATGCCGATGCCGATGACGATGATGATGATGATGATGATGATGATGATGATGATGATGATGATGATGATGATGACGATGAGGATGATGAGGATGATGATGGTACGGATGAGGTAGAGGATGAGGAGGACGAGGAGGTGGAAGAGGAGGAGGACAGCGAAGGACGAGCACCACCGCACCACGACTGATGATCTAGAACACCGATCATGATCCACAATGCCGATGATGATATGTACACGTCGGTCGGAAGAAGTAAGTAAAAGCACGAAGCAGCAGGCCGGATCAGGTACACTGGGCTCAGGCCCCCTCAGAGAGCAACGAACAACACAGCAAATGCATGCCGGTTCTTGAAGCAGGAGAGCGCTTGAATTCGATTGGCAGCTGGGAAGCCAAAACTGTCTACTCTCAACGCCCCCTGCCGCTGGCGCTGGTCCTGGGGACGGGCCTTCCATCCTGCGAGTGGTTCTCTGACGGTCCCAGGGCCCTGCCAGGGGCCCCCAGGGGCCGAGCGTTGCCAGAATGCCTCTGGTGAAGATGACCAGGAAGGTCAACTCGCAGAGGTCCATGAATTCCTCCGCCGCCGAGGGATCGAGGGCCCACGGTGGGGGGCGAGCCGAGGAAGACGAGGAGGGGGAGGAGGAGGAGGAGGAGGAGGAGGAGGAGGAGGAGGAGGAGGAGGAGGAGGAGGAGGAGGAGGAGGAGGGAGGTGCTTCACTACGTGAGAAGGGGGCCAGATTGGGCGGCGCCCACCAGCGGGTGGCGCGGGGGGGGCGGCCTTCAAAGCCAGCGGAGGGGGGCTTCTCAAAAGGCAGGGGCCTTCTCTCCTCCTCCTCCTCCTCCTCCTCCTCCTCCTCCTCCTCAAAGACTGGAGGCCTCTGAGAAGGCTTTCAGCGAGGCTTCTCAGAAGCCGGTCGGACTTTTCACGTGGTCTTGCCGCTGGCGCGCCACGTATGCGCCCATCCACCGACGAATGGGCCAATTACGTATGTGCACGCGGGGTGCCGGCTCCACCCGCGTGGGCTCTCGCGGGCGGACAGGAAGTGCCAGAAGCGAGCACGCAGATCCAGACAAATCGCCTCCCCCCAGGAACTGGCGGCGGGCGAGGGTGGGGGGAATGAGAAGGAGAAGGCCTCCTCGGAAGGCGGCGGTACTTCTCAGATTCCCCCGCACCTTCTGAGAAATTGCCCGAGTCTTCGGGGGCGGCTTCGAAACCACTTCTCGAACGGCCGCGGGACTTCCGAGCCTTCTGAGGAGGCCCGCCCCTTCTCGCTTCCCCTCCGGGCTCGCCGCCGAATGAAGGCTCCGGAGAGGACGACGCTGAGGAAGAGGTGGGTCAACAATGACATCAGCACGAGAAGGGGCGCGGAGGAGGGGATGCCTCAGGGGCATCTGGGCTTGCGGGCGGCGCGGCCTGCCCCTCGCGTAGTAGCAGAATATGGAGACGCCCCGCGCCGCCGCCTCGGCGGAGCACGCGTCCTGCGACGCGAACGTCCCCAGGCTGCTGGACGCGGACGAGATCCCGGGCGCGCAGGCCTCGTCAGGGCACCCCAGCTCGTGGAGGAGTATGAACCTTAGCTCTCCCTCGGTGGGCACCGCGGTCACTCCACCATCACCATCATCATGATCCTGATCATCATCATCACCATCAACAGGCACCACTACCTTTGCCATCACCACCACCATCGCCATAGCCAACATGACCACCAACCGCATCATCCACAGCATCATCAGCATCATCACCATCACCTTATCACCGCCATCATCAACATCCTCAGCATCACCATGATCATCAGCAACAACAGCATCACCATCACCATCACCATCACCATCACCATCACCATCGCCATCACCATCACCATCACCATCATCATCATTATCATCATCATCAACATCATCAACATCATCATCATCATCATCACCATCGTCAGCATCATGATCATCATCACGATCATGATCATGATGATCATCATCGTCATCATCGTCATCCTCAGCATCATCTTCATCATCATCATTATCATCACCATCATCATCATCATCATCATCATCATCATCATCATCATCATCGTCATCATCATCATCGTCATCGTCATCATCATCATCATCACCATCATCATCGGCATCATCATCATCATCATCATCATCAGCATCATCATCACGGGTGTCAATCCCGCCGCAGCCCGCGCGTGGACGCGGGATCCGCCTCGGGGGCGAGGCCGGCGCCGTGGTTGCGCTGCAGAATGAGCCCATTGCAGAAGATGGACGCGCAGCCGGTCGCGGGTGTAGCCCACTCGCCTCGGTGTCTTCGCGGTTGTCTGAAGCAAGGCCTCGCGGTTCTCTAAGCCAAAGTCTTCGCGGTTGTTTTGCCACGATGTCTCTTCGCTTCTCTTGCCCGTGCGTCGAGGTCCCGCTCGCCGCGAGTGTGCCTGCATACTGCCATCGGAATTTGCTCATCGGCTCGATCGGTTTCGAACCCGCCCGGCGGTCCCGCTCTCTCCCTTTCGTTGAGCGGGAACCGCGATGTCCCGCGCGCCGCTTCAGGCACCGTCTGGTCATCGCCACGTTCCTCATGATCATCACCATCGTCATTGCCATCATCGGAGCAGGGCTTGCCAGTGGCCTGCCCGCCCTGCGCTGCCCGCTTCCTCCCCGCCCCCATCGCTCGGACCGCGCTCGGGCTGGATCGGTCGGGTCAGCACGCACAGGCCGCCGCCTGCGTGCTGTCCGAACCCTTGCGAGGCGACGCCTCAGGCAGAAGCGGGCGCACACGCTCATCTCGGCGGACACCTTACCAGCCTGGAACATATCCCTATCCCTATGCTGGGCATCGCCTCGTCACGATGGCCATCTTAGGGATTTCCTCAGTTTCTGAGGGCGTATCCCTAAGATTGTCATCTCCTTTTCGCGTGTCAGTCTGAGGGATAGGGATAGGTTCGAGGCTGGTGAACACCCCCCGCGCTCCAATCACTGCCCACACGGGCCCACGATGTGCTTTGCGGCGCGAGGCGGGGAGGCATCCGGGAGCTTCCGCGACGTCCTGGCGCTGCCGTGCGAGCCCTGCTGCTGGCACCTGCCTGGAGAGGGGGGGCGCCTCCTGGAGCGGGATTTCGGGCAGCTGCTCGCGTGCGTCCGCTCCAGCGGCCGCCGTGGGCGCTCCTCCTGGTGGGACATGGTGGGCTCCCTGCTGCTCTTCATGGATGTGTGTTTTCCCAGGCCCTACCCTGGGAAGGACCCTTCTTGCCGGCGGTGTGCTGCAAGCGATGCAGATCAAGGGGAAGAACAACGAAACTACAGACATACCCGGCCCGATCTCTCGCCATCAGGTCTGACGGCAGGAGCTTTACTTCTTGGGTGTGTCAGCCCGGACTTGTGCGCGAGCCGCCCCTCACGAGAGCTCGAATGTGTCCAACGAACGCGCCGAATGTGACCCTGGCTTGCTTCCACCCCCCGCTCCCTCCCCCCCCCAGGAAACACCCCGGCCTACCCCCACCCCGCTGGCGAGGAGACAAGGGGATACAATGATAGGCGCGGGGGCCTTCCGCAGGCGGGCATCCAAGGGAGAAGGAAGAGGGGGGGGACCGCGGCGGGGGGGGATGGGCTTTCTCTGCTCGAGCTGGGGACCCATGTTGGACCTCCCGAAGGAGGCGGGGACCACGAAGACGACGACGATGACGATGACGACGACGACTACGACGACGACGACGACTAACCTGGCTTGCGCAGCCGTCGCTACTCACCAAGCTGCGCGGCGCGACCCGCTGCGAGCCTCCCGCTGGCGCTGCCCACGGCGCCGTCTCTCCCCACCCACGCGGCGACGGCGCCGCCCCCCCCCCCCCCCGAAGGGCGCCCAGGGCCCCTTAGGCCTGGCGACTCCGAGCCTGGCGGCCTCGCCAGGGTTGGCGGGGCAAGCGCCTCCGCCCACGGCCCCTTTCCTCCTCCTCCTCGTCCTCCTCCTCCTCCACCTCCACCCCCTCCTCCTCCTCCTCCTCCTCCTCCTCCTCCTCCTCCTCCTCCTCCTCCTCCTCCATTCTTTTCCATTATAAATAACTTCCCCCCGTCGCACCCAGAGGCAAGTTTTTAGGGTTGGCCGGGCGTTTCGCCCGAGACTTCCTCACCACTTATGACTCTGATGTTTTAAAAATTGCAACGGCTTCGCGGATCGAAGGCGGGCCATCTTCAACATGTGGCTTTCGCCTTAGCCCCGCCTACATTCTTTTCTAACATTTGCAACAGCTTCAAATATTGAGGGCGGGTTGTTTTCAAAATGTGGCTCTCGCCTGCGCGCCACGCGCATTCGTTTTAAACCTTTGCAAGAGCTTCACGGATTTAGGGAGGGTGGTTTCTCAACATGTGGCTTTCGCTTCATCACCGCAAACATTCGTTTCAAACAGTTGCATGCGTTTCACATATTGAGGGCGGGTCGTTTTCAAAATGTGACTCTCGTCCCAGCGCCGCGCATATACGTTTTTTAAACTTTGCAGGAGTTTCACAAACTGAAGGCGGGTGGTTTTAAAATGTGGCTTTCGCTTCAGCGCCGCGCACATTCGGTTTCAAACTTTGCAAGAGTTTCACGGATTGGGGGCGGGTGGTTTTCAAAATGTGGCTCTCGCTTCAGCGCCGCACGCATCCGTTTTTAACAAATTGCAAGAGCTTCACAGATTGAGGGCGGGTGGTTTTCGGAATGTGGCCTTCGCCCCAGCGCCGTGCACTTTAAAACTTTGCGAGGATTTCACGGATTGAGGGCGGGTGGTTTTCAAACTGTGGCTGTCGCGTCAGCGCCGCGCACGTTCGTTTCAAACAAATCACGCAAGCTTCACGGATTTACGTGATCAACGTGCCAGAAACGGCGTTGTGGAAGGATTCAGGATTATGCGGGTGCAACAATTATATTGGATCGCAGTGTTGAAATCCCCAAAACGGCGTTCTGGCACGATTCCAAATCGTCAGGACGCAACAGTGAGGTTGATCCGTGGCGTGGAAATCCCGAGAACACTATTTCGGCATGCTTCAAGCTCCTCAAACGGTTGTCTTCCAACGGAGCAGTTCCCTCATTGGAAATGAACCGTTGTAGGGGCCTATGGAGAGGGGGCTTGAAGGGAAAGTTAACTCCAACATCGTTGATGACTCCTGGGTTTACACAGGTCCTCCTCCTCCTCCTCCCTCTCCTCCTCCTCCTCCTCCTCCTCCTCCTCCTCCTCCTCCTCCTCCTCCTCCTCCTCCTCCTCCTCCTCCTCCCTCTCCTCCTCCTCCTCCTCCTCCTCTTCCTCCTCCTCATCCTCCTCCTCCTCCATGCTCTGCAAGGCGTGCGGCTCTCAGTGCATCGGCGTGCGCGCTGGGTGCCTCGAGCCGCCGAGGAGAAAGGCGTGCAACCCTCCTCGTCGTCTTGTGCTCGGCCGGGCGGCAGGCTCCCGGGCGCAGGAGGCGAGCACTGCGGGCAGCGGCGTGCCCCAACACCGGGGGTGTCGGGTCCGCGCGCGAGAAGCAGCGGCCGTCCGAGAGCAGATGTCTCCCGAGAGGTCCTACGCTCCAGAAAATGGGCGCGGCGGGATTCTGCCCGTTTTCGGGCAGTAGTCGTCGTCGTAGTAGTCGTCGTCGTCGTAGTAGTAGTAGTCTGAGTACCACTACTACTACTACTACTACTACTACTACTACTACTACTACTACTACTACTACTACTACTACTACTACTACTACTACTACTACTACTACACTACTACTACTACTACTACTACTACTACTACTACTACTACTACTACTACTACTACTACTACTACTACTACTACTACTACGACTACTACTACTACTACTACTACTACTACTA